GGTCCATCGTTGATTTTTTTAAGGTTCTAGTTGCATTTTTAGACCGCATTGTTACATTTGAATTCACTGCCGAAAGCAATCTACCAAATCCGGTCGCCTTTCTTCATCCTCCCTTTGGATTCAATGTAATTGAGTTCGTACCAGAGCGAAGAAGACGACGTGTTTCTGAACCAGTGCAACGTCGTCCTAGAGGCCTCCACGTGCTCCGACAAGAGCTGAAGGTTCTTCTGGAGATCATCGATCACGGTCAACAAACGGTCAAATAGATAGATGACCAAATCGTGTTAAAATTACAAAGTTAAGGACTTAATTGGTTGAAATTGAAAGGTTAGGACCAATTTGTGAATTTAGCTATAGTCGAGAGATCATTTTGGGTATTTACTCTTTATTAAATCACTACTACATGTTCATTAAACTATTACGAGTACTACATATTTATTATTGCAAGTTCATTAAGGATCTCTTCGAAAACATTTAAAAAAAAAAATTTCCTAGAAAATGAATTATTTTTTGAAGAATATTTTTATTTTATGGTGTTTAGCTTAAAGTTAGAAAATGATTTTTTTTTTCGGTTGAAATTCCAAAATTATTATATATTTTTTTGTTAGGTTCATTTTTTAAAAATAAACATGAACATAAATTTGTTACAAAATTATTTCTTATAAAATATTATAATTTTAAAGATGATAATAATAATAATTATAATTATTATTTATATTAAATAAAATATTATAAATTAAAATTTATAATAATTATATAGATTAATAATAATCTATACTATATATAAAAACAAAATCCTGAACTTTTAACTTCCCGCCCAATTCCTAAAAAATCTCTTTTCCCAATAAAATATATTTATTTCTACTTTCTCATTCGTACAATAATTCTGGGTAAAAAATCTATTCTAAAATTATAAAATAGTGTAACACAATTCTCTTTGCATATCTAATCTATCTACTATATATATATATATATATATATATATATATATATATATATATATATATATATATATATATATATATATATATATATATATATATAAAAGATCATATGAGAACACTTGTTTAGGTGAGAACATATCGTGTGCATCAATCTAATATTTTTTAATGGTCTAGATTAGATTAAGTGTGTTCGAACGCGCATTAAATGTGTGTAAACGCGATTAAGTGTGTTTGCACACATTTAATGTGCGTTCGCACACACTTAATCTAATCTATATCATTAAAAAATATTAGATGGACGCATATGATGTGTTCTCATATTCTCACCTAAGCACATGTTCTCACTGGAACCCTACCATATATATATATATATATATATATATATATATATATATATATATATATATATATATATATATATATATATATTGGGTTGAGTTCAAATAAGGACAACAATATATAGAGGACTGTGAGGACAAATAATGGGCACACAACAAATAAATAGGCAGGCACAAAACTTAATACACAATGGCACACAAGAATAAATGTAAACATCAGGTTTCGAACCCAAGATCTATAAATTAACAAATCTAGCACGCGACATACAAACTGTGGCACACGACTACATTCGGCCATGCACACGACATACCAGCTAATGGCACACACTAAATCTGTCCTCACAGTCCTCTATAATATACTTGTCCTCATTTGAATACACACACACACTCACACACACACACACACACACATATATATATATATATATATATATATATATATATATATATATATATATATATATATATATATATATATATATATAGGGTCAGGTTCCTGTGAGGTCATGTCTCCCCGTGCGGTCAGTGCGGCATACACCATTAGGTATGCAAAAATGCACCACACAGTGTTCGTAAATACACCATTATGTGTGGTGTATTTTTTTTTGTGTGGTGTATTTTTTGACATTTCATTCTGGTGTATTTTCGAACACTGTATGGTGCATTTAAACATACCTAATGGTGTATGCCGCACTGACCGCACGGGAAGACATGACCTCACAGGAACCAAAAAAAGAAATAAATAAATATATATATATATATATATATATATATATATATATATATATATAAATATATATATATATATATATATATATATATATATATATATATATATATATATATATATATTTATATTTATATAATTGAAAAAATTAGCAAGCTAGGACAAGTCAGTCGGGTTAACTCGACTAACTCGATTGAAATGAACGAGTTAACTCGGCCGAGTTAGGCGCTAGGCGGGAGCTTATGGGGCAAATAGCCACGGTCTAGGAGCGCCTAGTGCCTAGGTACCGATTAATCGGTGCCTAAGCAGGATTTTTGCTGCAACAGTGGTTAGAATCACTACTACTACAAGTTCATCATTATATATATATATATATATATATATATATATATATATATATATAGGTTCATCAAATCACTACTGCATGTTTATTAAAGAGTAAATACCTAAAATGGTCCCTCGAGTATAGCTAAATTCACAAATTGGTCTTCGACTTTCAATTTCAACCAATTAAGTCCTTAACTTTGTAATTTTAACACAATTTGGTCCTCTGTCTGTTTGACCGTTTGTTGACTGTGATTTTTGAGGATATATATGTAATTTCATGGTCCATCGTTGATTTTTTAAGGTTCTAGTTGCATTTTTAGACCGCACTGTTACATTTGAATTCACTGCCGAAAGCAATCTACCAAATCCGGTCGCCTTTCTTCATCCTCCCTTTGGATTCAATGTAATTGAGTTCGTACCAGAGCGAAGAAGACGACGTGTTTCTGAACCAGTGCAACGTCGTCCTAGAGGCCTCCACGTGCTCCGACAAGAGCTGAAGGTTCTTCTGGAGATCATCGATCACGGTCAACAAACGGTCAAATAGATAGATGACCAAATCGTGTCAAAATTACAAAGTTAAGGACTTAATTGGTTGAAATTGAAAGGTTAGGACCAATTTGTGAATTTAGCTATAGTCGAGAGATCATTTTGGGTATTTACTCTTTATTAAATCACTACTACATGTTCATTAAACTATTACGAGTACTACATATTTATTATTGCAAGTTCATTAAGGATCTCTTCGAAAACATTTAAAAAAAAAAATTTCCTAGAAAATGAATTATTTTTTGAAGAATATTTTTATTTTATGGTGTTTAGCTTAAAGTTAGAAAATGATTTTTTTTTTCGGTTGAAATTCCAAAATTATTATATATTTTTTTGTTAGGTTCATTTTTTAAAAATAAACATGAACATAAATTTGTTACAAAATTATTTCTTATAAAATATTATAATTTTAAAGATGATAATAATAATAATTATAATTATTATTTATATTAAATAAAATATTATAAATTAAAATTTATAATAATTATATAGATTAATAATAATCTATACTATATATAAAAACAAAATCCTGAACTTTTAACTTCCCGCCCAATTCCTAAAAAATCTCTTTTCCCAATAAAATATATTTATTTCTACTTTCTCATTCGTACAATAATTCTGGGTAAAAAATCTATTCTAAAATTATAAAATAGTGTAACACAATTCTCTTTGCATATCTAATCTATCTACTATATATATATATATATATATATATATATATATATATATATATATATATATTGATGGTTTTATTGGGACCGGGTCCACCATAAACCGGGTATAGGAACATAGGACGGGGGGGTAGGGTGCTAGGCCCAGAACAATGCGTACAAAAGCCCGAGGTACAGGCCCAGAATGGCAGCCCAATTACAAAGAACAAGGCCCACAGGATGGGCTATAGCGAACTATGCTACTGGTAGGAATCGAACCCAGGTGACTGGATTGAGAGTACAAGACCAAAACCACTAGACTGTAGTGCTTATCGTGTCTGAGTTGCCCCTTAGCCAAAGATCCAGGGCCCCTATTTATAGCAAGCCCCCCTCCTCCTCTGGCGTCCGCGTGTCCCACGTTGCTCCTCCCCCACTCCGCTTGTTTGTCGTCATGCATGTCACGTCGCCACTATCCCCGCGACTCCCGCATCCTCCACCATGCACGCCGCACCTACCTCCCCCCCTCAGCCGTACCTACCTACCCCCTCACGCCGTACCTACCCCCTCATGCCGTACCTACCTCCCCCCTCACGCCGTACCTACCTCCCCCCCTCACGTCGTACCTACCTCCCCCCTCATATCGTACCTACCTACCCCCTCACGCCATACCTACCCCCCTCATGTCGTACCTACCTCCCCCCTCATATCGTACCTACCTACCCCCTCACGCCGTACCTACTCCCCTCATGCCGTACCTACCTCCCCCCTCACGTCGTACCTACCTCCCCCCTCACGCCGTACCTACCCTTAACCCAGCCGATGCAAGATACCCCTTTGCAAGATGAAATGACATGCCACATGAATTATTTTAAAAAAAAATTCTTAGGTGTATTGCAAGCTTTCTAAGTGCATAAAAGGTTAACGCAGGGTGTCTTTTTGTATTTTATTTATTTTTTAAATTATTTTATTATAATTTTATTATTTTATTGTATTGTGATTGATATTGGGGTCGACTTTTAAAAATAGATTGAATTTGTGAGGATGTAGTGTGAATAATAAATGAATTACAAATTTGATGATGTGAGGTGAGACCTATTTTTAAAATTGAGAGAGATTTACGGGAATAAGGATAACTTAAATGTAATAACACTAAAAAAAAAAAAAAAGAAATTGAACAACACCCACATCAACATGAACTTTTATTGAACTTTCAATACAAAATGAAATTGAACAACACCCACGTCAACATGAACTTTTATTGAACTTTCAGTACAAAAACATAATCTATAAACTGGGAGGACTGTCAAGGTCCTTTGCAACTAGCTAGCCCCAGCAAACATATCATCAACTGCGGCATGCAGTGCTGAAACAACAAAAAGATGCATGCCCGGCCCCATCTTCATCCATCGGTTTTGAGGGAGCTACATAATATAAGCAACTTAGGAAGAAAAGGAGACAAAAAAAAAAATTTTAAATTGCAGAGCTTAGCTTTTAGTTGAGATAATTATACCAAAACTTAGGCTTGCAGGGCTAAATTTCACTTCTTTAGGAAACCCCACCAAAGCAAGAACACCAGCAGTCTTCAACAGCGACAAGTACAGATCAAATGGGATATCTCCGGATGCAGTGTTAATCAGGAAGTCAAATGATTTCGACAGTGCCTATAACAAAAGACAGCCATATATGTTTTGTCAGTAACCAAATTACATCACTCTGATCTGGACAACTTTAATCTTAATTACCATCATCTGTTGTTGACCAGATGAGATCACAAAGTTGTCGGCGCCAAGAAGATTCAGAGCTTCTTCTTTCTTTGATATACTGGTGCTGAAAACCGTCACTTTCAATCCAAGAGCTTTGCCAAACTTCACAGCCAAGTGACCAAGACCACCTAGTCCAATCACACCCAAACACTTACCAGGTTGATTCATGTTCTGTCGCATCATCGGAGTGTACACAGTAATTCCAGCGCATAACAATGGCGCTGCTGAGGCGAGAGGGTAATTTTCAGGAATTTTGTAGCAATACCTGTACAAATGATAGTCAGCAATCTAGTACACTATCACCAGTGTTGGGTAGAGGCCAGTAAAGGACCAAGTCCAACACCTCTTGAAAATGTGACAAGCAGTGTATAAGAAAATAATGGTTCGCTTTTACTACTAGTCATGGTTACGTTGAAAAAATCGTTAGGCACCTAAACGGCCATTAATCGGTGCCAATGAGCCTAGGCGGTTAGTGCCTATCTAGGCACCCTAGGCTGCCCGCCTAGATCACCAATTATGGTGATACACTAGGCCATCGGCCAGCACCTAGCGCCGATTAATCGATGCTTAGACGGAATTTTTGTAACACTGCTACTAGTTATAGCTTTTAGCATGGTGGTGAGCACTTGATCTAATAAGTAGTATCAGAACTAGGTCACCGACTCCGATCTCAGGTGTTGGGAAAGGGGAATTGTTGGGCACTTAATCCTAACAACTGGAAAAAATTGTTAGTTGAGAATGAATATTATATTATGTTGAACGTACCTTTGATGAACAACAATGTAAGTAGAGTATCCTCCTTTGGTGACTGTACCATCCGCATCTATGCCATCAAAAGTAGGGACAGCACCCTTTGAACACTCAACTTCTAAATCTTCATCGTTACAATACTTACACTCCCTGCAAGAGTTAACATAAGCTCCAACTCCCACAGGGTCACCAACTTTAAACCGCTCAACAACGTTGGACCCAACCTCTTTCACAATTCCTACAATCTCATGTCTGGTAGGCAGATAGAAAAAAGAAAATCAAATAAATATTAGAAAAGAAGTTATATAGAAATTGTACGTCTGAGATTAATTCCATATGATGAAGGCTAGGCATCATTATATTCATACCCAGGCACTAAAGGGTACTTGGATGTTCCTCCTTCATTCCTTGTCCAGATAACATCAGCATAACAGATGCCGCAATATGCAATATCTAGCGACACATCATCGCTCCCGACAACCCTGTTAACATTTAATAATTATGTGGTGTTACACTTTTTGTCCATTTACTAAAAAAAAATAAGAGACGAAATTTGCAACTAACATTAGTATAAATTAGGGAGTGAGCATAGAAAGTTAATAAAAGGATAAAAATTACAATGCCAAGATAGCTTAGGGATGAAAAGTAAGCACGATCAAGGAACGAATTTTATAATAATTACTCTATAACTTATGAATGAAAAGTGCAATTTTTTCTCACACACACACATATAGAGAAAAAGACAAAAATATGCGGTCAACAAGGAAAAATTCCCAAAATGTGTCGTATTTTTTTTTTGGACAAAAATATGCAAAACTCCTTTCGTAGTTGCGTTTTTGATGTATTTCGTATTTTTCTTGTATTCGTGGAAAACGCAAGAGGCAGTTGCGTTTACGTATTTGTATACGTAAAACGCAATAGGCTCTTGCGTTTTTGCGGCAATACCGTATCCCACAAAACGCAACTACGTTTTGCGTTTTACGTATTATACGTAAAACGGTAAACCAAGTTGCGTTTTTGTGAAGTATTTGTACTCGTCGTCGCCGGCGAAGTCGAAGGCCGGCGAGATATACAAAACGCAATTCGCAAGTGAGGTTTTGCTTCGAATCGGTTAAACGCAAGTTGTAATTGCGTTTTTGAAACGTTAAATGCGTTTTTGAAACGTTAAATTTTTCCGGCGACTGCCCGGCGAAACAACCTAAAACGCAATTGAGAGTTGCGTTGTGTAATGTTCATTTAATTGAATTTTCAAGAGTTGATTAATTAGTATACAAAACCGAGCATTTGATAACAATAGGTGGGTTAGCGTAGTTGGTAGAACCTCAGTTGAACCAGTTGTGGTGGTTAGGGTTCGAATCCTATTATTGTATGTACATATGTTATTTAATGTTTTTCGAGTTATAGTATTAGTATTAATAAATGCGGTAATATAAATGAAAGATTTGTAGTTGAGTTGGGTTAGTATGCGGTTGAATATGTGGTTTTCTAGGGTTTGAATCCCATTTATATCTTGGTGTTTGTTTTTTGGAATTACGCAGGTGTTGTGTAAGTATAAAAAATTGGGCAAATGGTAATAAAAGATGTCTTAGGTGAGTTGGCTTAGGATGCGTTCAAATATGTAGTTAGCCAGGGTTCAAATCCCATTTATATCTTGGCGTTTGTTTTTTGGAACTACGAACCGTCGATTATAGTATAAGGATTTTGGCAAATGGTAATAAATGATGTGTTTGCTGAAATTTATTATTTTTGATGTTGACCAAAGTTAATCGATAAAGACGGTTGGTATGAAATATCCGTAACGGCAAGTTGTGTATTATAAAATATAATTTACATAGATTTGAAGGATGAATTAGTTGAAATGTAACAGGAAACTAATATAAATGTTATTCATCGTAAATTCATACAGTTATAAGTACATGAAATGAAATATTATTTCTGTACTCGAAAATAATTTTTTGCGTAAAAACGGTTGTTGCGGGCTGCCTCTGTGGAGTTTTGGTGCAAGAGGTCCCCAATTGGTCCAATTGGGGACCTCTTGCACCAAAACTCCACAGTTTTGCCCAGTTGCAAGCCTAAGTTGCTGTGGTGTATTTCCGCTTTAGGTCGTACATGATCAACTTTGCTTGCTGACTGGACAACCCAGTGTGTAGATGGCTCTTCAAGGAAATACGTCTTTCGTAATGGAAGACATTAATCTTCCTTTGAGTACAGCTCTACGGCGACAAAACTGGGCAAGCCCCTTAAACCGAAACCCGAAGCGCGAAATTTAGTTGAAATTCTTTTGACAATGAAGAAACACAGAGAAAAAATCTTGGTATGTAGTATTGGGCATGAGATAGTTGAAATGAAGAAAACAAACTTCCCATCTCGTATTGATTAGATAAAGGAAGTAATGTTTAATAAGAATAAATTTTGGGGTTTCAATGTAAATCCGCGAAATGTATCAGGTCGATATTTATAGGGAAGTGATGTGGGAATAATATCATTGAAAACGCAAGTGTGTGATGCGTTTTGATGTTAAACGCATGCCCTTGTTGCGTTTTGGGTACTGTACAGTTTGGAGTGTGTTGCAGGTGTGTGATGTGCATGAGGCCGTATTGCAGATATGTGTAGTCACCTCAACCCAGAGAAAACGCAACTCCAAGTTGTGTTTTCGTATGTGATTTGTACATACCGATGCATGCTTTGATTTGATAGTCCAAGGGCCATGTGATGATTTGATAGGCCAAGCCCAATCTGCCAGTCTAGATAACGCAATTAGCAGTTGCGTTTTAGCCATTGACAGGGCAAGAGCAGATGGACCATACACTGGGTTGGCGGATAGTACATCTAAAACGCAAGGCCCAATAGCGTTTTAGAAACTTGTATTGATAGAAATAATATGGGTATAATTATTGAATAATGTTCGATTAAGTAATGAAGATTCAAGTTAAGAATAATGTATATTGAATAAAAAAATGATTCTAATTCCGTAAAGTCAAATTGTACATTTTTTTTGGAGATGATGTATATATTTTTTTTTATTCTGAGTGTATATTGTGTTTTATAATGTACACTCATTATAAAAATGTACATATGATGGACCATGGTCCACACAGTAATTTGTCGTCATATGGTGGCTTAATGTTGGATTATTGAACATACTGTGATTTAAAGTAGTATAGAATAGGTATCAAAATGTTGTTGATTTAACCGCAAAGTTTTATTACTAAAGATCATTACATTGACGTGGATAACTGGTGAATTTCTCCAAATTCATTATCCGTAATATTGTAGTTGATTGACCATGGATAAATCTTCTCTATGTTATAGGCGATAGCAATTGGTAGCATTAGTATGACATGTTGGTCGACATTGAAGAACACAACTCGGTCACAGCCATCTAAGTGAAAATGATCATATATTTGCTCCCAACTGCGCAACCGAACCATTTCTTACCATAACTCTAAATTTTTGTTAGTAAGGGTACTCTACACTTTCAAAACATAATTTATTCCCAACACTGCTTACGTTGGGTTTCAAACAAAGGCCAAGCGACATGTGACACCCATTTAAATACATTGTAAACCAACTACACAACCAATCACTCTTTAAAGATTTCACAAAAATATTAATAATATAGCGTCTCAACAACTCTAAAAACAAAAACCAAATTGCTTCCCATCAAGTTTCGACCCAAGGCAAATGCTATACCAAACAATCAAATTCACACGCTAAACCAACTAAGCAACACATCCCTTAGTTCACATTTGAACACACTAAAAATCAACATGTGCTAACGATAGGTTTCGAAACAAGGCCACTTAGCCAAACAAGCATTCTCAATCACAAAGCTTAACCAACTATGCAACACCACATTCTATTAATATTTGTCTTTTTTATTATACATACTCAAAACGATGAACAGTACTAAAAATGACGCACCATTAAAACCAACACCGATTAGACGACGAATAGTCAGGGTTCGCCGGAGCCTGTAAAACGCATGTGCTAATAGCGTTTTGCGTATTACTCAAAAAACGCGATTCGTATTTGCGTTTTTGTACAATTTTCCGGCGACGTACGGCGGTAAAGAAAACGCATTTGGGTCTTGCGTTTTACGTATTCACAGGTACAATACGTAAAACTCATCTCCCAATTGCGTTTTAGCGTATTCCCTACGTATTGTGAAAACGCACCTGGGAGATGCGTTTTCCGTATTCAATACGAAAAACGCAACCACCAGTTGCGTTTTCTGTATTTAACAAAAAAAAAAAATACGGATGAAATACGTTCAAAAACGTAACTCTCAATAGAGTTTTGCATATTTCTGTCAAAAAAAAGTTAATACATATTTTGGCTAATTCTCAACCATTTCTACACATTCTAGTCTTTTTCCCCACACACACATATATATATATATATAGAGAGAGAGAGAGAGTATAGGTTGTAGGTGTACTTACGGCTGAAATTATAAGGAGAGAGAAGTCCGGATGGATCTCTGCAGCCCATCCAAGGCAGTTGTTGTGTGTTGAAGGTGAAGATGCCATGCTTGCTAGCTTGTGTACGTTTCACAGAGATTCTGATCTGGGAAAAAGAATCACAGTACAAGCTAAGATATATTAAATGAAATTGAATAATGATTCATAGAGTAAAGATTATTGAAGCTTTGAATTGAAGGAAGATAATGGGATTCCGTTTCACTACCAAATGTACAGCAAGATTCTCCTCCTGCAGCCTTCAGTCCTAGATAGTGTTTAGCCTGTAATGTTTAAATTGGAATCCTCCTTGTTCCAGAGTCCAGGAAATATATAGATATGGAAAATATTACGTTCTCTGATCTCCCATATATATTCATGATGCAAACACTTTTTCTTGAGACTCCATGATGAAAATATTTTATTATTATTTGTCACATTATGAAGTAAAAATAAGATTGTAAAATTTGAAAGTACATGTAATAAAATCATTAGTACCCTTTAAGAGTGGGAGACTAATATAAAGAGTATATATATTAATTTTGATCCTCCTCATAAATTATGTCAGCTGATTTCCAAGCGTCGGCACCCACGCATACCCTCAAAAGTCTTCCCAGTAAAGGCAAACTATGACACTGTGGAGCTAGCGTAGTTAGTGATTTAAATGTTATGATTGGAGGCAGAGGTGTGGATTAGGATTGTATAAATTGATTATCAGTCTGTACAGCAATACAATTGAAAAATATATACATACAGCAGAGATATATGCAGACTAGAAGTATAGTCGAATAAGAATCTTAACACTCCCCCTTAAACTCAGGGAAGAGCAACAACCTGCAGCTTGCCTGGTAGAAACGCAAAACGCGGAGCCGCGAGGGGCTTGGTGAATATATCCGTCAGTTGGTCCTTCGTCGAGATAAAATTAACTTGTAGCTCACCCGCTGCGACCTTGTCCCCAACAAAATGATAGTCAATCTCAATATATGTTTCGTGCATGAAAACCGGATTAGTACACATGTAGGTGGCACCCAGATTATCACACCACAGCTTCGGAGCAGATCCAGACAGCACACCTAGTTCACGCAAAAAAGCCAAAATCCAAGTAACCTCAACACAGACATCAGCAGAGCCTTGTACTCAGCCTCATTAGACGATCTGGCCACTGTACGCTGCGTTTTGCAAACCCACAAAATGAGATTAGAACCCAGAAAAACCGCAAAGCCGCTGTAGACTTCCTATCCGTCGGGCAACTAGCCCAGTTCGAATCAGAATACGCATGAATATCAGTGTTAGGAGACTTACGCAACACCAAACCATAATGCAGAGTCCCCTTAACGTACCACAGCACCCACTTAAGGTGAGCCCAATGCGCATCTGTAGGAGCATGCATGTGCTGACACAACAAATTAACCGCATAAGACAGGTCAGGCCGGGTAACCGTGAGATACTGCAAGGCACCTGCTATACTCCTGTACTTCGTAGGATCTTTAAACGGCTGATTACTCCCAGAAACAGGCCGAGACACGGGAACAGGAATCGCTACAGGCTTGGACTCATACATGCCAGCACGCGTCAAGATCTCTGTCATATAACGCTTCTAAGAGAGAAGCAAACTCGAGGGTCCACGAACCGTCTCAATCCCTAAGAAAAAAATCGGTGCACATAGATCGCGAATCTTGAAGGCGGAAAACAATTTGGAAATGAGAGTAGACACTAGAGACGGATCACTACCCATAACCAAAATTTCATCCACATAAATCAACAAATACACCTTCAGCTCGCCCTGCGAAAAGATAAACAGAGAGACATCCGTTTTGGATGCCCGAAAACCAACCGACAACAGAAAAGAATGCGATTTAGTAAACCATGCCCGGGGAGCCTGCTTGATCGAGCCCATACAAAGATTTCTGCAAAAGACACACATGATCAGGAAACTCATTATCCGCATAACCAGGCGGCTGACGCATATAGACAGTTTCAGCCAGTGTTCCATTAAGAAACGCATTGTGCACATCAAGCTGGCGAATAACCCAGCCCGAGCACAAGGCCAAAGACAACAACAACCGCACTGTAGTCGGTTTCACCACAGGACTGAACGTGTCAAAGAAGTCCTGCCCAGCCACTTGGTTGAAACCCTTAGCCACCAACCGTGCCTTATGTCGCTCAATGGAGCCATCAGCCTTCCGTTTGGTGCGAAAGACCCACTTGAACCCAACAACATTCATACCTGCACTGTAGGACACCAGCCGCCAAGTATTATTCTACATCAGCGCATTGAACATCCATAGCCTCTCTCCACTCTGGAAACCTAACAGCCTGTGTATAGCAACTAGGCTCGGCAGGACACACCTCAAAAGAAAGAGCAACCAGAACCGCGCCCTCAGCTCGAGCCCGACTCCTCGTGACCACAGCCTGTGCAACGGACGGGTTCGGGTTCGCGAAAGGCTAATCCGATCGGACTTCGGATACCCTAATCTAGCACCTAACCGTTTATTTCCCACCTAATTCCGTCGGATATTGTTCCGAATTACCGTTCGGATATCCGACTCAACCGTCGGATATATCGATTATTGATGATAAAAGTGTAAGTGCAAAAATAATAAATTTATTTAACAAAAAGAACTAATTTTTAATAGTTAACCACTTAAGTAGTCTAAAATACAGAACTACTTAAGTAGTAAAAGTGTAAGACACTTCACAAGTTCACAGTTTCAACTTACAAATTAAAATTTACATTCATAACGCATAAGCATTTACTGATTACAGACTAACTGACTAAGCAATTAAGCATACAAAAATACAAAAACACTGAAGTTCAGACATTAAGAAGTAAGCAATTAAGCTTTAATCCAAGCCTCCAAAACTTGAAAGTCCAATGTCCAAACCACCAAGCATCAGCAGTCAACAACTCAACATTCATAAAAAAGAATACCAGTAGACCCTAATAATATGATAATAACCTAATAATATGATAATAACCTATTTGGCTATTCCTCTTCCTGATAAGTATAAACACAAAACTTTTATAAGTCTTAAAATATATAAACTTTAAAGTTTAAACAATTGAACATGAATGAGTTATGAATGTAAATTTTAGAGTGCTCAGATTGCTATTTTTCCAGATCAACCAAGGATTGGGGGAAATTGCTCAATATGAGTATGGCACAAAACACCACACTGCATAGGCAACATGCCAAACCCAATTCTATATATTCAGAAAACATGGTGGAAGCATCATCATTGCACAGGGGGCCAAAGACAATTAAGTAATTAACAATAAGTCAACAACAGAGATATGGAGACTTGAGAGAAGGGAAGCCATATACATTACCACTTTACCAGACACCATTCATCATTCAGGTGCCAAATGCTCTATGGCAGCAACATTTAAATGTCACCAAGCCATTGAACACTTTCCAATTCCATTGCCCAGCCAAGGAATGAGGGCCTGAGGGACATTGATATTTGATACACATACACTGTAACACTGATGCAGTCATACAGAGATATCATATAATAATCATTGATCAAATATCAAAATAAATACAGAAATGCTTTATGGAATAAAAGTTATAAGTATATAACCATACAGGTATTGTAGGCAATAATCCAACTCCAGTGGTGGATGTGCTGCACAACTCTACAAAAAGAAAAAAAAAACACAAGTATAATTAAAAGAAATATTTATTTATAATAAATAGTTATAAATTCTAAGTTAAAATGTAAATTTTAGAGATTTACCTTTCTCAATCCTTTCAACATCTTCAATATTTTCTTCAATAGAGATTGGTTGATTGGCTAACCTCAACCAATCCTGTGCACACACAAGTGCCTCAACAATCTTAGGAGTTAGGGAACTCCTAAAGGCATCTAGTACTCTCCCACTGGTACTGAATGTTGATTCAGATGCAACAGTAGAGATTGGAACAGCAAGTACATCCCTTGCCATTTTAGATAACACAGGAAACCTATCAGAATTCAGCTTCCACCATCTTAGAAGGTCAAAAGAATCCTCATCATCCAACTCAGTTTTTCATTGGCAAATCACCAGTACCCAATTTTTGTTTCTTAATCTGGGATTTCAATAATGCTTGAGGTTTCCCAACAGAAACACAATCAGAAATTAAAACTGAAGGGGCTGATTTGGCAGAATTTTCAGGAACAGACTGGACAGGAAAACCGGACACATAATCTAGAAATAACTCCTTATCACAGTCCACACAAATCAGTGAATCACAATCACATAAACCCTAATTAAACTATCAAAGTATCACAAATTAGACACAAGTGACATGCAATATGGAACTTCTTAACAGATCACATTATCACAGTCCACACAAATCAGTGAATCACAATCACATAAACCCTAATCAAACTATCAAAGTATCACAAATTAGAGACAAGTGACATGCAATCTGGAACTTCTCAACGGATCACATTATCACAGTCCACACAAATCAGTGAATCACAATCACATAAACCCTAATCAAACTATCAAAGTATCACAAATTAGAGACAAGTGACATGCAATCTAGAACTTCTCAACAGATCACATTATCACAGTCCACACAAATCACAATATATAAGAGTATAAGAATATAATCTAAGTATCTAACAATCTAAAAGACTAGGATTTAGAGAATAGAGATTACTTCGTTTCTCTAAATTTAACCCCCGAGAACAAAGGGCTTCGATTCCTAGCCAGCGAATTGCAATCCACCGGAGTATCGCTTCCACCGGAGACTCGCTTCGACTCAGACTCTCAGAGGTCAGGGGCTACCGGAAAGGAATGGGGCTTGAGGGCTTCCACCGGAGAATAATAGCTTCCACAGTCTACACAGTCACACTCTCAGATATTGAGAGAAGCTGAGATTCTGAGAACTGAGAAGGGCTGAGAGAGAAGTCAGAGAACGAGAGACTTTGAGAGAACTAGGGTAGAGACTAGAGAGAAGAGAGAAGTCAGAGAGTTCTCTGGAAGAAGGGAAGAGCTGCGCAAATGAGACTAGGGTTTGCGAGTTCTCCGCTCCTTCTTCTATATATACTCATTCTACACGACGTCGCATTACTTAGGTTATACGAAGCCCTAGTCTAAATCGGGTAGTCGGACGGGTTCGGGTGGAAAATAGAACCCCCTCCCCGAACTCATTAAACCGGCGTCGTTCTACGCCGCGGTTCGGATTTGGCTTCTCGGGTTCGGTTTTCGAACCATTCTCGTGTGTCGGGTTCGGGTCTGTCGTTTTTATTGGATTGGGCGGGTTATACACAGGCCTAACCACAGGAGCCCGAGCCAGAGGTTTTGAAAAAGCCTTAGTGCGAACCATAAAAGGAACGGGCTGAGCCGGAACAGAAGGGACCACCTAAGGATCACACGGAGCCCGCACTCGAGACATAGCCCACGGAAGCACTGGCTCAGCAACAGATGTCTGCACAACAGTCTTAGCAAAAGGAAAAACATGTTCGTCAAAACGAACATGCCTGCAGATAAAGACCTTGTTAGTGTTAAGATCCATACATAGATACCTCCTAAAAGACACATGATACCCAAGAAAGACACACGGTGCAGACCTGAAACTCATTCTGTGACGGTGGTAGGGACGAAGATATGGGAAACACAAGCACCCAAAAACACGCAGAAAAGAGTAAGAGGGCGGTGACTGATGAAGTTTAAAGTGAGGAGTAGAATTTTGTAGGACAGACCTAGGCATTTTATTAATCAAGTAAACCGCAGACTCAAAAGAAAATTCCCAAAAATGGAAAGGAACAGACGCGCAGCCATTAAAGCGAGCCCAATCTTAACAATGTGTCTATGCTTACGCTCAACACGACCATTCTGCTCGTGAGTGTAAGCATAGGACTGCCTGTGAATAATACCAAGAGAAACAAATTAACAAGGAGTGCAATTTCTTAAATTTAGCACCAAGATCCCACTGAACGGACATAATACGACAACCAAACGACCGCTCAACTAGAGCACGAAAATTATTAAAAATAGCATAAATATCACACTTCAAGCGCATAGGATAAAATCAGGTGTAACGGGAATGATCATCAACGAAAATATTCCTCCGGTTTAACGTTGAGTGGGAATATCTGGGTGTAGAACGGCTTCTCTGATTAGCTCTGAAGTGGTCCTTGTATCTTTGGGATTTTAAAAATATTCTTCAATTTAATCCCATACTAGTTAAACTAGTATTTTTCCTTGTGAGAATATTTTCACTGTAAGTTCATCTTCATCTTCTTCATTCTCATGTCTGGGTGTTCTCAGACTTCAAATTGGCTTTGAACTTCCACCCAATTTGAATTTCTCAATTGTAACTGACACCCAATTTCAATTGACTTGTAATTGGCACCCAATTTGAATTTCTCCATTAAATAGAGAGATTAAGTCCAGTGATACTTAGCTCATTTCGATCATTCCCAACTCGTGCCTTAAGGTAGAAAATCTCGTTTCGCATAAAGGCTTCGTGAGAATATCAGTAACTTGGTTTTCCGTAGGGATATATTCGATCTTCAGATTTTTCTTTTCAACGTGATCCCTTATGAAGTGATGTCGAATGTTGATATGTTTGGTTCTTGAGTGAAGCACCG